AAATACACTGAATCTCATCCTCTTCAGGGTTGGGCACAAAACCCCCTCGCGTATTAACATGAACCTCTAAACTCATGACACTCATGTATTGAGCCTCACGTTGAATGTTAATAGTCTTTCCGTTTTGTGTATATTTGAAGCCATGCGGGTTCTTTTGAGTTGGGCCGTCGATTTGTGAAAGCTTCGCCTCCTTTCGGTGCTTGCTAACCGACTTGGAAGGTGCACCCCTCTTCGGCTTTTCGGATTTATGATTTATCTTAGACTCCTGATTGCGAGCCCAAATGTGTACTTTCGCATAACTAGGCGGCATTTCTGTAAAAGTCCAAGTACGAAGACTGCACTCGCGGCGTCGATGATTGCAGACTTCTTCGTCTTTGATTCTATCGGGGAGAACAACAGGCCCAAGCCCAAAAGTTGCGTCTGAGGTTGCAGACGGATCAAAATCGGGAAGGAATGGCACACTCGTGCTTCCAAGTTTGAATTCTCTACCCGCCCATTCTCTAGGGCGCTCGGGAACATCTTCTTCCCTACTGTAAAAGGCATCTTGTTGGATAATTAAGGGTAGATTGAAACTTGACATCGTTGTAGAAACAAAATGGGCTGATGGGGGAGATTGATGATGTGCCAGCAGTAATGAATCGTTGCTGGCTCCAAAGCTGTCTGTGATTCCTTTGAACAATTTATCCTGAACAGAGAAATCTAGCTTTCGAATCGGGCTTAGTATCGTTGTGGAGCTTGACATGCTTACAGTCTTAACGAAGTTATCAGTAGTCGATGCTGGATTGGGAAGAAAAGAAACGTGCTTCTTTGCTGTAGGAGTAGCTACATCCCCAAAGCGCTGACTGAGTTTCAGCATTGTGCTCGAATCGTGCGAATCTTTTGTTACAGGGAAATTGAGCGAGTCTTGAGAGGAAAGCTTAGCATCAGGCGGCCTAAGCTCCAAGCTGGTTCGTTGCTCAATGTGTTCATTCCTTGCTCCTAGAGATGACGTAGGAGATAATTGTATTGAGAGCTGAGCCATTGTACTGGTCTTCCGCCGTTTCGCGTCCGGAAATTCTTGTTCTAATTGTGATCTCTTCCATTCGCGATTAATGTCGTGGCCCCTGTGGTTGTGACCACTATAATGATCAGAATCAATCTGACTAGCCAAGTGACTGATTTGTGCAGATTTGGAGGCCAGAGCATCTGCTACGACAGAGGCTGTTTGGGAGTGTACGAAATTGTGATGAGCTTTGCCTTCTTTAGGCTGAATTGCTTGCAATTCATGTAATGAAGCAGCATTAAAATAAGCTTCGTCACCAAACATCGTATCTGTTTCAGATTTGGGTAGAGCTTCGTCAATATAATCTCCTTTCCGTTTCTGGGAAAGCTCAATCTCTCTCATGATATCCTCATCAGAATCGTAATCATCTTCATTTTCTTCTTGGCTGATTGCAAGTTCAACAAGGGTTTCGTCCACCTCTCTTTCTCCACGGTGACCATGCAAATTGTGATGGCCCTGTTCCTCATAGATTGATTGGAAAGCGAGACGAAGATTCTCCGGGTACAAGTCTTCCACCGACTCAAGGCTAGTTTTCACGGAAGTCTCGAAGGGCTTTGGCTTGACGAAAGTTTTGAAAGTTGGTTTTGAAGGGTCGCCTCTGTTCCGTTCTTCTTGGATGAGCCCTTTGACCATTTCCCTGTGTTCGCCTTCGTGCATCCATCCACCATTCTGGGAATGTCGAGGGTCAGCTGACATAGAAAACATTACCTCGGCTGGGAATGGGCTACTACCAGCCGTTGCATTTGGAATTCTAGACTTTCGACGACGGGTTTCATCTTTCCAAAGACCTGCCATACTTTGTACTAACTTCTCGTCGGGGGCAAAAGGACCAAGGTTTTGAGCGAAGTCATGGTGGAGCAGACGTGGCTTGACATCCCTCCTGTTGAGAATATTTTGAACACAGATATCAACTTCCAATGAACAATGGCTGACCCTAGGGAGATACACGTCATTCGTAATGAGATGATCAGGTATTGAGCGGTCATGCCAAAAGTGCATTGATGAGGAAATTTCATTGTATAGAGGCACTGGACCTCGAAATGTAGCCTTACTAGAATCGATATATCCACATCCATACAGATTGTAGTCCGCCATCCACTGAAGGAGAAATTGAAGATGGGCTTCATATGGTTGAAATACTCGCTTCATAACAGTACCCTGACGCAAAATATCCGCGAGACGCGTCATTACCATGGGATTCAACATGTGAATCTTAAGATAGAAGCGGTATCCAACATGGAAGCCATAGAATGGGACCGCCTTTACCAAGGTAATACGTGCGACAAATTTGGCATTTCCATCATATGCATTGCGACGATAGCTTACAGCCAGGGCATAATCGATTGAAAGATGAAGTCTGTGGATATAACTTACAACTGCAAATTTATCAGACATCAAAACAACAATCGAAATTTAGCAAAAGACAAACCTTCGTCGGGATCGAGCGAGCCTTCATACTCAATATATAAATAAGGAAATGCTCCATGGATATGTGCGCAGACCTTCTGACCTGTCTCCGTCGAGCCGAAAACTCTAATGACAGGCACTTTTGGCTCTTTGTGAATATCGGAAGGTTTGATGTTTCGCTTTAATTGAGGATCAAATTGAGAAGGTGTAGCTTGATAATGATCAATGCAATTGAGACGTACTCGAAAGAGGTCCATGGCAATTGGACGTGTTAGGATGGAGGCACCCAGCGAGAGTCGATCTTGTCAGTTTTCATGACTTCGCATTTCTTACTATACCTTCAAATACAAAAGGAAAAAACCGTAGGAAGTGCCGTTCCTGTTTTATCTTCATTCTCTTTCTCATACCACATCTGAGTGGCGCAAACACGAACGCGAACAAAAAGCTACGCCAAGTCACGGGACTGGGACTTGGATCTAGAAGTGCTGACAGAGCCGAGAGAGCATACCTTATCGCCGCTACCCAATGGAGTTTATCAATCGATCCACATCCTGTCTTTCCTAAATCCACCTCTCTTTCCTACATCCACCTACCTATTATCTTTAGTCGAGAACTAAATTATTGTTTGCTACTTGATCTCCTTGATATACAGTTTCGACCATTCTATCGACTTTTATACGTACTTTTACTGAAATATCAAGAACTGATACAATCTTTTTTTTTGATATAGCCAAACCTCCAAAATGCCTCCCGCAGGTACACAACCTCGAAAGCCTGAACAATCTGCAGCAAACAAGGACCAGAACGAGTATATCCCAGCTTTTATTGCAAAGAAGCCATTTTATATCGGCGACGATGATAATAACGATTACCTCGAGCATCAGCGTCTTCAAAAAGCCCAATTAGATCAGTCAAAATGGTATGATCGTGGAAAGAAACTGGGTCCTGCAGCCACCAAATTTCGGAAAGGCGCATGCGAAAATTGCGGAGCAATGACACACAAGGCGAAGGATTGCTTGAACAGACCTAGAGCGAAAGGCGCCAAATGGACCGGAAAGGATATACAGGCAGATGAAGTTATACAGGACGTTGATTTGGGATGGGATGCGAAGAGAGATCGATGGAATGGATACGATGCGAAGGAGTACAAGGCCGTCACGGATGAATATGCGCAGCTAGAAGAACTGAAGAAGCAATTACAGAGTGGTCAAAGCAAAGATGGAGAAGAAGTTGATGAGGATGGCGATGATGATGGCGCAAAATACGCCGAGGAATCAGATATGGGCAGACATCAAAGTACATCGACAAGGCAGCTGAGAATACGCGAGGACACGGCAAAATATCTATTGAATTTGGACCTAGACTCGGCGAAGTACGACCCAAAGACTAGATCTATGGTGGACAGTGGAGCGACTGCTGATACGGCTGCGGCGCTGGTTGCGGAAGAAGGATTTTTGAAAGCTTCTGGGGATGCCGCCGAGTTTGAAAAGGCACAGAAGTACGCCTGGGAGTCTCAGGAAAAGGCTGGTGACACAAAGCAACATTTACAAGCCAACCCTACATCTGGCGAGTACTATAGAAGAAAGGAGAAGGAAGAGGCCGAGGCCAAACGACAGGCGCATAAAAAAATGCTTTTGGAGAAATATGGCGGAGACAGCAATCCTATGGCTGCAAAGCTTAGGGATGCAGCCGTTATGGAGTCTGAGAAATATGTGGAATATGATGAGACGGGTGGAATCAAGGGAGCACCAAAGGCCTCTGCGAAGTCTAAATATCCTGAGGACATTTTCCCCAACAATCACACATCTGTGTGGGGAAGTTGGTGGTCTAACTTCAAATGGGGTTATTCTTGTTGTCATTCGCTGGTCAAGAACAGTTACTGTGTCGGAGAAGCAGGTAAAAGTGCTTTTCAAGATGCAGAGCGTGCTCGAATAGGAGGTATCCTGATGGATGAGGACACAGAAGAGGCCGAACCAGCAAAGAGTGAGGTGGAGAAGCCTTCCGCTATCACACAACAAACGAAGAAACGCACTGCGGAAGAGATGCATTCCGGTGTTTCTGAGGAGGATATGGATGCATGGAAGAAGAAGCGTATAGCAGCCGACGATCCAATGAATGCTTTCATAGGGAAAGACGAATTAGTATGACGAGCAGATTCAATAATAAACCAATAGACATTTTAATCGAACGTTGAAATCATTACTGGATGTTTAATCTCAAGCCACTTTCACTTTCCCATAACAATTTAAGGGAATAATATCAAAAATAGAAAGATAGCTTTTGGTACTTGGATTAGTTTATGTGTAATATTGTTGAACGTATTCCGATATTGGATCTTTGAGAAAATCACAAATTATTCGTAGAATGGTATATTCTTGGAACAATAAAGTCATTAAAAAAAGTGATCATTAATAATTCATCATGGAATACGGCTTTTATTTTGTAGCTCGACGCTGAGATGTCTGCTTTACATATGTAACCGGCCCTAACCCCTGCTAAAGTGTAACCCTCATGATGTAGATAGGAAAGATTTTGGTATCAAAATGTTCCTCTATTCCTCATCCTCTTCCTCGGCATCATCATCCTTCTTCTCGGAAGCCTTGGCCTTCTTTCTGCGGACACGACCTGGGCGTCCACCTCCGAATGGCGAGCTCAATGCGAAGTCGATGTGCTTTTGGGAGTCGAGACGGACAACGAAGGATGGAACGTTGACAATTTGCTTACCAACACGGATGTGTCTTTGGCGGATGAGGACACGAGCGTGATGGATGGACTTGGCAAGACCGAGCTTGTAGACACAGGTTTGAAGACGACGCTCCATGAAATCCTCGATCTTCAAGGCCAAAACGTAATCGAGCTTCATGCGGGACTCGTCGAGGACGCCGACACGGACAAGACGACGAATGAGGGCGTTACCTTCGAAAAGTCTCTTTGGGTCCTTCTCGTCAAGGGTGAGCAATTGACTAAATTAAATACGTTAGCACATCGAAAAGTTCTCGAAGTGAAGAATTTCACATACCGGGCAGCACGACGAATCTTGGAGAGAGTCAACTGGACACGCCAGACCTCACGCTTGTTGCGGAGACCATACTCTCCGACAATCTTCAATTCGGAGTCCCTAGGGAAAAATCAGTGACATGAACAGAGCAAGCTCTAGAACAGTGGTCCACTTACAAACGAGCACTCTCGAAGCTATAAAGTTGTCAGCATGAATTACGAAGCGCGAACAGATGATTGATGGGGAACTTACGGACGACGTGGGACCTTGTAGGTCTTGGAGTATGAACGTCTGGTCAAAAATATTAGCAAACGAACTCAATTTGGCCTTGTTGCGATCGAGGTAATATTCCCAAAGCAATTCGATTCAAAGCCAAAAAAAAAACTCCAGATAATTTCGAGATCAATCGAAGTAAATCTGAAGCTTCAGAATATGGACAATACGTACGGGGCCATTTTTGCTGATACGTCGAGTCGATTGTCGTCGTGAGGTTGTTGATCGCTGGCTGTAAATTTTGTTACTGTAATTTTTCGATGTTCCGGAAATTCAATTAGGGCATTTGACCCGAGCTACCACCAAAGTGGGAAGGCGCAAAATTAAGCGAAGATTTTTGAAAGTTGGAGTTGCCGATACCAGCGTCAATTTGCAATAGAAAGATTATCGACAATTTCTGAATAACTTCGACCTCCCTCCAAATACCCATCCTACATCGACAAAATGGGTCACCCAGCAGGTCTCCGCGCCGGTACTCGGGTGAGTTCATTATTTCCCGTTTAATTGCACCATTTGGGGAGGATTGCTACGGCCACAGCTTTGAAATCGATGCGACGACGGCAATTTTCGATTCGATAGCAGTAACTAACACATTTTCAGTATGCATTCAGCAGAAACTTCAAGGATCATGGTATGATCAAGTTGTCGACCTACTTGAGACAATACAAGTATGTAGAAATCCATTTCTACGCAATTTCGAGATGTCGCAAAATACTAATTTATTTTCAGGGTCGGTGACATTGTTGATATCAAGGCAAACGGTGCCGTTCAAAAGGGGTCAGTCAAAATCATCAATCATACATAAATTTCCCAGGCAGAATCGACATGGAGATTTGCGAGAAGACGGTGGAATGTTTTGGAGGACGAATTCGTGTACTGACTTCTGTTCAGTATGCCCCACAAGGTTTACCACGGAAAGACTGGTGTCGTTTACAACGTCACCAAGAGCGCCGTTGGTGTTATCATCTACAAGAAGGTTAAGCACAGATACATCGAGAAGCGTGTCAACCTCAGAATCGAGCACGTCTCCCTCTCCCGCTCAAGAGAGGAGTTCGTCCGCAGAGTCAAGAAGAACGCCGAGTTGAAGAAGCAATCGAAGGCCGACGGTACCCACGTTCACTTGAAGAGACAGCCAGCCATGCCAAGAGAGGCCAGAACCATTTCGATGAAGGATAACGTACCAGAGACAATTGTACCAATCGCATACGAGACGACTATCTAAGCTCTGGGCTGGGGTTTGTTTGGGTTTCTTTGCGGGATATGATACAATGAGGGTCAGAGGCTTCTAGCGTTGCATGTTAAAAATTAAATATGTGCAATACCTTCAAGAATCTGAAAGGTTTCCAACAGCATCCGATGACACGCATGGCCATGTGTTTGCAGCAAATTTCAGTGAACAACGATTTTTTCCTTTTTATTCTTCCCTATCTCTCTATCCCTCCGGAGCCGTATTTGTCACGCTTAGGTAGAAGATTTCCCACTTCTCCGAAGCCCTCACAAGTGTTCCAAGAACAACCCCAGTCGAGTTTGGCGTTTGATCATCCAGAGTCTCCTATGTTCTGGATGCAGCCTCATTTGAATACATTACAATCCCTCCTAGCATATTTTTTCTTTTTATACTGCATGCCATTAAGCCGATCTTCGATGAGCTCCCTATACCTGTCTCACAATGTTGAGTCTAGATCGGTGCTGTTTACATGATGTTTCTTGTGTGGGTGTTGAGAGAATGAAAATTATGCAATCACTTTTCTTGTTCTTTGGACGTCAAATGGATGTGAAATGAGTGAGAATAGCAATGCCGAAAGCATACCGGCAGTAGATATCAACTAACGGTAATATAATTCCTTGGATTTGGGCATGATCTATAAAAACTGTACTCCACACATCGGTGGTGGATGATCTACATCTGGCACCTGTCGTGACAATGCACCAGAAAAGATCGGTACTGGCCGAGGAGGCGAGAGATCCAGCCGCGTCCAACTTAACCTTCTTGGTGCACGAATTTGCGGGGGGTACAGCATAGCCACGGTAAGAAACTGAAGGGCGGCGCGTATTTGAATATGAATACTATCACATAATAAATACGGGAAGAGTTACCTACTCGAGATATTGAATGGTTTTAGCAAAAATAGTGGTCACGAGGATCAAGGCCCAAGATCACGTCCTCGAGAATCTCGACTTGCCCATCTCAGACTTGACTCTTGAATGGAAGGATAGCTATCAGAAAGCAAGATGGTGCTATGACTTACGGAGTCGACTGAGGAAACGCCGGCAAAAGAAGAAATGCGAGACCAAACTATTCGGGACTTGTGAGTTCAGACCTTCCTCATGAAGCTAATCCCTGAGATGATGGGAGATAGCGGATACAAGGGACCTCGTGCCTTCCGAGCCTTCCTTCTTCATCTGATAAGTGATGAATGAGTGAGGAGTGGTGGGTGAGGAGTGATGAGCTGACACGAGTAAGCAAAGCATACCTACCTAGTATCGAATGGAAATGTGATTCATGAAAGTTAAGAAAAGTCTTGGGAGGATCAAGGATGATGATTTATTGATTGATTGATTGATTGATTGATTGATTGATTGATTGATTTATTGATTGTAATTGTTGAGATACTGATACTGCAAGGTGGGAAGTGATGAGTGATATTAATATTGATACCTATCTGGTATTGATGTCACTGAATTAATTATTTTTATTCTACGATATTGATTCCGTACGTACGGTACGTGAGTGCCAGTAGATAGATAGGCTCAGATAGGATAGTGGTATCTCTACTCCGTACCAACTTTCCCCCTCTTCAATAACCCCTAATAATAAGAAGTGCGGAGTACGATGTACGAGGTACGATGTAGACCAACCACTTACTTGCATGCATGAAGTAAGTCTGGATAAGTCCAATATGCATACAATTCGTTAGAGAACCCTGGATTAGAATGATGGATGGATTGATGGATGATAGATTGATTGATAGACAGATTGATAGATAGATTTGATACCAAGACACAAAGACAGACCCTTTTAAATCGAATGTGAGGAAATGAATGCTTCTCTTTGTCACCCCCTAATCCTAATAATACTACGAGTAGGTATAGGTAATAATGAATGATAGTTATTACAACCTCTACATCTATATATGCCTACTAGGTATACTTCGTATATATGTACTATACTCGCATAATCGTATCATCATATAATCGTACACTTTGAATATTACACGACATTATTATGTTTTAAAAGATGCTACAAATTGTCTCTTTTTACTAGGGAGTAATTCATTCTCTGTTCCTCTCTTCCTCATTTCTCTCATTTTCCTCTTGTCCCTTTTCCCTTTTCCTTGCTTTTCCTTTTGATTTTTTTGACTTTTCCCTATTCTTGTATCCCCCATCCGAGTGGGATTTTGATTGGGTAGTATCATCCAGCGTTTAGACGTATGACGCCGCGTCGTTTTCCCGTTTTCCTTTCCTGGCAAATCTAAAGAGATTTATTATTATCTGGAGTATCGGAAATTCATAACCCGATCAATAATACTGTACGAGCACTTGCTATACTTTCTCTCATCTTTTGATTTTCTCTCAACTCTCTCTCAACACACACACACACACACTCCCTCTCTCTCTCTCCTCCTCCCTCTCTCCTAACCCTTCAAAGGAGTAAATAATAATTTATTCAAACTAAGTACTTACTTTTTTCCTTTTCTTTTTTCTCTCTCTTATTCTTCTTCTTCGACTCTTCCTTCTTCTTTCTATCCTCTCCTTACATACATTTCTTCCAATTTTTTATTCCTCTTGTACTTTATCAAACTTCAATCCCTTTCTTGCTGTGTCTTTCCCACCTTTCATCGGTTCAATACGTAAAAGCATCAGTAAAGATTCCGAGATCTCAAAGTACCTTCCTGGTTTAGGTCGTTAGGCACATTTACTGCCGCTAATCGACTACGTAATAATCGTCAACTCGTATTTCTTTGGTGGCTTTCTAATCGGGAACGAGGCTCTAAGCCTCTTCAAAGAATCAAATGTCCGAGTAAGTTTGTTATGTTATATTATAGTATACTCGACTTGACTTTATCATGATGATTTGATCAATCTCATTCATTCATGTGGTCAAAAGGAAAAAAATAATTAAATCATGTTCAACAACAACAATAACTAACAATGCAACCAATCATACAGCTTCATCCACATTGCTGGATGGACTCAATATAATCATCGTCGGTCCTTACAACATATACGCTCTCTCTCGGGTTCTTCTACAAAGACGATAACGAAATCAATATCGACTACTACCCTGCCTACGATGGCTACAGTATCAAACGCCCCTGGAATACCCACGCCGAGGGCTTTCGCTCCCTATATGGATCAAGAGGAGAATTTGAGTACTCTTCCGGACCCTCGGAGTAGAGTCTCGTCACCTACAATCGACGGCCCCGTCTCAAACCAAGAACAGTATCAAGAGCTGAGCAATGCACATTTGAGCGAGGAGGTTACAACACTGAGCAAAAAGCTTATAAACGCCATAAATCAACAGACGACTCTCGACGATAGTTTAAGCGCCACTCGACATGAACTGGAGGCTTCGAGAGAACGAAATAAGCAGCTTGAACGGGAAAATCGAGAGCACAAAGCGCTAGTATCGAATGGAGTACTGATACGGAGCTCAATAGCCGAAGCTGAGAAGGCCAAACTCAATGCGACCTTGACGGAAGAGAGGAATAAAAGAAGGGAAGTTGAGAAAGAAAAGAAGAGTATCGAGCTAGAATTGGAGAACCTCACCACGGCTTTATTTGAGGAGGCGAACAAGGTTGGTCTGAGTATAGTCTTTCAATGCAATAAAAGCTGACATTGACAGATGGTTATCACGGCTCGAGAGCAAGCACAGAAGGAATATGATATCGTGAACAAGAAGAACGATCAACTAAAAGCACAACTTCAGGAGGCAGAGAATTTACTAAAGTCGCAACAAGAACAGTTGGCAGAATTGAAGCAAGTTATGGAACACATGACCGAGGAACAGGATGACCAAACAAACCAAACAAATAATACCGCGCCGTCAACTCCAGCTTTACATCAAACCGATCGCAAAGACGACAATATGCACAACTCGGACTCGATACAATCTTCGTCAATCCCGGAACCTGTCTCGCCTTCATATCCTACGAGCTTCTTGCACCTGATTCAACCAGTC